CAGCCTCCTGAGCCACTTCCCAGTGGCTTACAGGTGTGCGCCACCAGGCCCAGCTTCTTTCATTCTTTCTATGCTAGAGATTGAACCCAGGGCCTCCTGCCTGCTAGGTAAGAGCTGTATCCTCTAGCCTGGTCTGGCCTGGCAGAATTTGAAGCAAGGGTTTTATGAGCTCAGACTCCACACTGTGCCCTCAACCCCCTTGGCACAGGACACTAAACCCTGTACACAGAATCCTCTACAAGCCACATCTACCCCAGAGAGTTCCTAGGGAGGACTAGACCAGAGAGAAATGCTAATTGAATTTGGGACACACCCAGTGCCACGTGGGAACAATGACTGGGAATCCTCACTCCAGCCTTCCCACCCAAGTTTCCACTGTCCCCACCAGCCACAGCCTGTCCACTCTCTTCTGTCACATTTCCCCAGGAGGCCTGAGATAAGAATACCCACCTCCCTTCCTGAATCCTTTCCTGCCACCCTTGACTCTACTAACCTAAGCAGCTGCAGAATCTGGCTCACTCAAGCCCCAGGGAGAGGAAGGTAAATGGGGAGACAGGAATTTGCTGGGGGAGCCATGGCTTTGGTCTGTACCCTCCCCTTCCACAGGGCTGAAGTGGTGATTAGTTGGTTAATTATATACAAGCCATTTCCGATTGGCATAAGCCCACCCACCCACAGAGCCTGCCCAGAAGGCAGGCAGACCTGGCCCAGGGACAGGAGCTGGGGTGTCAGCTACTTTGGGGGTGGGGTGGTCTTGACCCCTGCCATGGTGGAAGGGAACGTGATTGTCTTCCCCTCTCAGATCTCCTCCTCTCTCCCTCATCTAGGTCTCCTTCATATCTTTTCTATCCTCCCTTTTGCTTGCCCCCATACAAATCCCTTTCCCTCCCTTTCCTCCCTGTAGGTTTGGAATGAAATCACGGGGCTCTGAGTTCCGCACTAGGCCCCTACATAAACACTCTGATTGGGGCTAATTATAAGGGCCAGGTTGGGAGGCTGGAGCCTTGAGAAAGCTTTGGCGTCCAAACAAAGGGCCCAGGACTCAGCCCCCAGCCTGGGCCGGCTCCTCTCCAGCCCTCACTGGCACTGAGGCGAGGACTTCCTGGGCCACTGGCAAACCCAACAGTCCATGAGCTTATTCCCTGTCCCAAGTCACTTCTTGTTCATCTTGTTGCTTTGCCTCAGTCCTTTAGGGACTCAAATTCTGGGGCCTTCCCAGATGGCTTAGAGGAGCCACAAGACTGCAGGGGAAGGCAAGGCAGCTGGGGAGGCCTCTCAGGCTGTGAGGCTAGGGATGGGCAGGAGGGGCAGGGGGAGGCGCAGGGGAAGCCAGCTGTGACAGTCCTAGCTCTAATTAGCCAGCTTCAAAGCCTGTTGGTGAGGCCCACCAGCGTGTGCGTCTGGTCACTCAGGCGAGTAAGACATTTCTGTCCTAATCAGAGGAAAAAGAGGGAGACAAATGCTGCCTACCACCACCCTGAGGAGATTTTGAGACCCTGGGCTGGCATCCAGAGTCAGAGAAAAAACTTTAGGAACACAGGAAACATTCTACTCTGTTAAAACTAATGGTTACAATAGGTTACAAAGCCCTCAAAAAAAAAAAAAAAAAAAAAAAAAAAGAGTATCCTTTGATCCAGTGATTCTGCTTTTCAGGAATTTATCCTAAGTAGTTGGAAAACTGTTAGAATTTATTTACTTATTTGTTTTGTGGTACCGGGGGTTGAACCCAGAGGTATCTACCACTAAGCCACATCCCCAGCCCCCATTTTCTTTTTTTTTTCTTTTCCTATTATTATTATTAGTAGTAGTAGAAATAGTAGTAGTAGTACTGGGGATTGAACTCGGGAAAAATTTATCTCTGAGCTACATCCCCCAAATTTTGAGACAGGGTACTGTTAAGTTGCTTGGGTTGGCCTCAGACTTGTGATCCTCCTGCCTCAGCCTCGTGGGTCACTGGACATGGTTTCTACAATTTATTGAACTTCTACTATGCACTGATTCTGTCTGTGCAGGGCCCAACTTAATCCTCACCACAATCTTTTTTTAAAAAAATATTTTCATTAGTTATTGATAGATCTTTATTTTATTTATTTATGTATATGCGGTGCTGAGGATCCGAACCCAGTGCCTCACACATGGTAGGCAAGTGCTCTATCACTGAGCCACAACCCCAGCCCCCTCACCACAATCTTGCCTGGCAGGTACCAATGAGGTCTTGGGACTCAGAGATTAGGAAATTTGCACAAGTGCTCCCTGCAGGTCCTGCCTCATGCCCAGGCTCTCTCCAAATATGGTTGGTTTATCTGGCTCTGTATTCCTCTTTTTTCTCCCCCTCAGGCACAAATGCATTGCACATTCATTCCATCCTGCTTTTTTTTTTTTTTTTAGTTATCGGCGGACACAACATCTTTGTTTTGTATGTGGTGCTGAGGATCCAACCTGGGCCGCATGCATGCCAGGCTAGCGTGCTACCGCTTGAGCCACATCCCCAGCCCCAATCCTGCTGCATCTTGATAATTTGTTACCTGAGTGAGGAATATGATTCCATTGAGTGAATAATCTGGCTTAGGGATGATCCTTGTTTTTAGTCACAATAGTTTCCTCTCTCTGATCCCCTTTTTGTCACAGAGGTAATTAGAAACTGTGGGACTAGCTTGGGGGTCAGAGTAGGTGGGGAGAAGGCACAGCCAGGTGGTATAGAAGCTTCCTAAACTTTTATGCAAAATAATGTGTTCATGTGAATCTGGCCTTTTTAAAAATTAAAAAAATATATATTTATTATATTTTAGTTGTAGTTGGACACAATGCCTTTATTTCATTTATTTATTTATTTTTATGTGGTGCTGAGGATGGAACCCAGGGCCTCGTGCATGCTAGGCGAGTGCTCTACCGCTGAGCCACAATCCCAGCCCCACTCCCCCTTTAATTGCAGTTAGAGTTCCAAAGATATTTTAGATTCCCAGAAAGTCAGGGACCCTGAAGTTTAAATTTAGAGATGAGAAAGGTGATCTAGAGGAAGGATGCTGCTCCAGTGGGCAGAGACTACAGAAGGGAAAACTCATCTCTGAAGTGGCAGGAGCTCAGGCTGGGCTTCCCACTGTGTGCACCACAGCACCCAGGACAACTCTTCCAGAATCCAGCCCAAATCAGGATTCCAATGCCCTTAATCATCATCATCATCATCATCATCATCATCATCTAGAAGTTGGCAGCTTCTAGAATAATCTAAAGTTGGCATCTCCAGGTCCCACTGAGGCAACACCAGAATTCATTTTGGGGGGATATACAGAAGAATTTTGTCTTGGAAAATTTTGGTGGCCCATTCTGAACTGGCTCTTAAAGGATCCTCTAAAAGGACAAAGAATTTTTAACAATAGAAAACTTTTCAGGAAGGAAGGCTGGGGTAGGAAAAGCAAAAGTCAGATCAATAAGAAGGGGGAGTCTGAATAACTATCTGAACTAGACAGCTGGCTTGTGGGATGGGGGTGATTGTGGAAGAACAGGTAAAAAGTACCTGCCCAGGGCCTCAAGTGGGGGGAGGGGAGTCCCTCCTTAGCCCTCACTCTCCACCAAACACAAAACCTCACTCTCCCAGAAGGAGGAATCAATCCACTTAGGATGTGGAAACCAGTTCCTATCTATCCTGAGACCTATAGAAAATCTACAAAAGCAGACCTCTAGGCCCTGGGTTTTAACTGTGTTTTCCAAACAATGGGGTAGAGACCCCACTCTCCTGGTGCAGCATTGAATTCAGAAGGTTTACCTTTGGTTTTCCCTCCAAGACCCTTTCTCCTCTCCCTAGCCTAAATTTCCCACACTGTGGTCTAAAGCTGCCCTTCCTCCAAGTTATCTTATCAAAGAAACTGGTGTGAGGTGATGGGAGGGTTCCCCCACTGCTTTCTATAAGCTAATTCAGTCCATGACTTCCCCCTTAGAGAAGAAAAAGGCATCTTCAAGATCTGTTCTTTCCAAAAGAGGCAATTATCTTATAATTCATCTTCTTCTCCAGTCATAAAACCTATTTTGTCAGTTTTCTTAGACCCTGTTCTACATTGGCAGGAGACCTTGACGTAGGATGTGGGGGCAGAGGCAAGAAAGAAGAACCAGCTCTACCTGAGTTCTTTCCTTCCCACCACCCCCTGCTCTGGGAAGGAAAGGGTGATTGTTACTAGTCCACCATCTCTTCCTGCCATCATTGTGAGGATCCAGGACAAATGTACCCAAAGCAAACAGAGCTAAGACCCTGGGGGATTTAGGGGTGGGGGAAGCTCTCCCAAAATCTTCAACAGAGACCAGAGGTTAGGAAATCATCAGGGCTTCTCTTCCCAGTGGGCTCAGTCCCCAGCACAGCAAAATCCTATCCAATTCCCCAAGCTCTTACCATTATTACCAGGAAAGACACTCAACAATTTGTTTGTAATTAAACGCTTTCCTTCAGCATTTGGGGGGGGGGTCCTTTAGACTTGGAACAAATGGAGCGCAGGAGTGGTGACACCTCCCCCTGCCCACCAATGATTAAGGGAACCTCATGTTTACCTTCACACTCATTAGCAATTGATAAAAACTGAATTTGAACTAGCCACTGGCACAAATGATTTTGGCGGGGGAGACTATGTATTTTTTTTTGGGGGGGGGAATCTATTGAAATCCCTAGACTTCATACAATTCCAAACAAAGCCCCACATGACTTCAATTACCACCAAACATTTCCAGTTCCCCTCCCCCAACATAAGCTAACACAGTCAAACATTTCAAAGCAGGGGTTCCAACTTACTTTCTCCCTTGTCCCAAAGTCAGCCAACAAAAGATGATAAGGTACCTTTCCTCCCATAACCATTTAGCTAAAAACAAAAAAGCTAGATCTTGGGCTCCAAGCTCACTTCTCTGCACCACCCCCAACTAACTAGGTGAGGGAGACAGGGAAGGAGGAGGGAGGTGTGGTTTGGTTAAACTAATAAAATGTTACAACCCTGTTAAATACAATTAAAGGGCTAGATCTCTTGAAGATAATTAAATGCACTTTATTATTATGATTATTAGCTTTTAATTTGCACTATTATCAAGACACATGAGATGGCAAAAAAATGAGTTACGTGGCATAATTGTCTTCAAATCAATCCTTTGGAATTAAAATTCTAAAATATTCCAAATAGTTGAGGAAATTGATGTGTGTTGGAAACTGGAATTCTCATACCAGCAGTCAAAGATATTTTATACATCACTTCTCAGGCAGCTAACTTAAAAAAAGTCTTGACTTTTATTTGGGAGGGGGTAGGAGGAAGATAAGAAACATCTGTTATAAACATTCTATCAATCTTGTGATATAGAATGTCCAGTAAACACTCAACCCCACCCCCACAGCCACAAAGAGCCTGCCCACAGCCTTCTAAAGCAAAGATACCCACTTTTTTTTTCTTTTTTTGGACAAGTTTTAAAAGAAACCAGTCTTTTGTCAAAAGAAAACTAAGAATCCCATCCCATCAGTCCACCCATTCCCTCCCCCCAACCTAACCCATTTTTATTGCTTTGTGGAAATAAGAAAGAGAAAAATAGCTCCCAACAACAAAACAAAACAAACAAACAAACAAAACACATACACAAACCAACCTGCAATCTGCTAACCTGAATACCAGTTTTTTGGTTGGGGGCCAGCAGACCACCAGGAAATAAGGGGAAGGCTGCAAAATCTCAAAATCCCAGAATTTGCAAATAAATGTTCAAAGGCTCATGGTACCTCTAAAAATTCAGGCAGAGGATCAGAAATCGAAGTGGTTTGTGTATGTGTGTAGTGGGGGGACGGTTAAAACATAGCCCACAAAGCATATTCTGCCTATTTTGGACGCTTAGGGTAGCGAGCGGAAACGAAGAAAAGTCAAAGACAGAAAGAGTGGGCCAGGGCGGTGGAGGCCATACCTCCCCAGATCCCCGCCCTCTCCCCCACACCATCCTCGTTTTTTTTGTTTTTTTTTTTTCCCACGTCTTCATCTCGACTGGGAAGTTTCCAAATATCTAGTGAAGGAGTCAGGACAAATGAAGAGGGAAAGAAAAGAAGGAAAAATAAAACGAAATAAAGACGAATCCAAATCTTTAAAAAAATAATCCAACAGCTTCTACAGGCCCAGCGTCAGCGAGGAGGCTCGCAAATTTGGCTTTTATAGAAGTTAAATGGAACTAACTCCCAACTCCTCACAGCCAACAAAAACAGCGCTCAGGCTAGGTGCCTCTCCCAGCAGGCCCAGCCCTGCCAAATCACCAAAAATTTTGAACCAGAGTAGATACCGGACGGCTTTAAAAGGGCACTTAAGAAAGGAGAGACCTCCCCCAGGTTCCCACCCCAATCTTCAGCCTTGGCGCCGGCTCCATTGTTTTTTTTTTTTTTTCTCTCTCCTTTTTTTTTTTTCTTTTAAATAGAAAATATATAATTAATTTACAAAGGCTATTTACAGTTTTAATTACAAACCCGGTGGGGGTGTTGGGCAGAGTTCTCTTTAAAAAGCGACCTAGAAAAGAAATGGTTTCCATTGTTCTTTATTTAAAAAAATAAAATAGGAGTCCGTAGGGAGCCCTCCCCCCTCCCCCGCCTCGCCGCAGAAGGAAAGCACAGTGCCATCCCATCCCGGAGGTGCAGGGTAGCCGCGCGCCCTCGCTCACACGGTGGTTTCGCCATGTCGGCTGTTGGTGAGACGCGTGTAGAACTTCCTCCACGAATGCAGAGTCTTGCCGGACCAGATCCAGAAGCCCGACGTGATGCCCACGATGAGAGTCATGAGGTATTTAATCATGTAGACCGTGAAGTCGGGCGACATGCGCGGCGTGTAGTGCGCCGGGCACGGGATGGCCAAGCTCTTGCAGTGCTGGCTCACCCACGAGCGCTCCCAGTGCTCGCGGAAGGCCTGCTCGTAGAAGTAGCAGGCTATGACGATGGTGGCTGGCACCGTGTAGAGCACAGAGAAGACGCCGATGCGCACCATGAGCCGCTCCAGCTTCTCCGTCTTGGTGCCATCGTGCTTCATGATGGTGCGGATGCGGAAGAGCGACACGAAGCCGGCCAGGAGGAAGGATGTGCCAATGAACAGGTACACGAAGAGTGGTGCCAGCACGAAGCCCCGCAGCGGGTCCAAGCTATTGAGGCCCACGAAGCACACGCCGCTCAGCAGGTCGCCGTCGATCTGGCCCATAGCCAAGATGGTGATGGTCTTGACGGCCGGCACGGCCCAGGCCGCCAGGTGGAAGTACTGCGAGTTGGCTTCTATGGCCTCGTGGCCCCACTTCATGCCCGCTGCCAGGAACCAGGTAAGCGACAGGATGACCCACCAGATGGAGCTGGCCATACTGAAGAAATAAAGCATCATGAAGAGGATGGTGCAGCCCTCCTTCTTAGTGCCCTGCACCACCGTGCGGTAACCGTCTTCAGAGAAGCGCTCGTTGCATACCACACGCTCCTGGAGGACGAAGCCTGCGATATAGGCCACCGACACCATAGTGTAGCAGCCCGACAGAAAAATGATAGGACGCTCTGGATAGCGGAAGCGCTGCATGTCCACCAGGTAGGTGGTGACAGTGAAGAAGGTGGAGGCACAACACAGCACCGACCAAGTGAGGATCCAGAGGCGTGCGAAACGCGTCTCCTCCTGCGAGAAGAACATGGAGCCGTCGGGCCGCGCGGGTTCGCAGGGAGCAGCACAATCGCGCTCACCCAGAAACTTGTAGCTGAGATAAGACGGCACCTTGAGCACACGCGGGCAGTGGAAAGGGTGCTCCAGCGTGGCGTAGCGTGGGGGCGCGCCGCCTCCGCCGGGGCCTCCCGGGGTGCCACCAGCGCCAGGCTGCAGACCCGGCGGCGGCGCGGTGGTGAGCAACGCTGGCGCTCCGTCTTCGGAGTGGTTCTGGCCCACGCAGATCTGCTCCGCGCCGTGGCGCGGGAAGTGCTCGCAGCGCAGACGCTCGGGCCACTGGAAACCGAACTTGTTCATGAGCGCCTCGCAGCCCTGACGCGCGCGCTCGCAGATAGAGCGGCACGGCGGAATGGCCTGCTCCAGTACTGTGCACACGGGTGCGTACATAGAGCATAGAAAGAAGCGCAGCTCGGGAGAGCACTGCACCTTCACCAATGGATAGAACTGGTGCACCTCCAGGCCTGCGTCCTCCTGGTTCGTATGGCCCAGAAGGTTGGGCATGATGGTCTGGTTGTAGGCGATGTCCGTGCACAGCGGGATGGAGATGGGCTGGCAGAAGCCGTGGTCCGGGATGGAGATGCCCTTCTCCCCATGGAATTGGGCAGGCCCGGCGGCGGGAAGGAGCAGCAGCGGCAGCAGCAGGCGGGGCAGGGCGCTGCGGGGCCGCATGCTGGCCGCCGCCCCCCACCCAGCTCCTGGGCAGCCCCCCGCCCCCGCCCCCAACCCCGAGACCGCGCGCCTTCCCAGCTGCCGCCTAGCTGCGGCCGCCGCCTCCCGCGCCTCTTTGCAAACTTTGCTCGTGGTCGCAGAGTTGGGGAGGCCGGGCGGGGGAGGGGGCGGCGCGCCTGCCCGCTAGCTCGTCGCGGTCGGACTGAGCCGCCGGAGACACCGTGCGCCGCTGCCCTCTCTCCTCCTCTTCCTCCTCCTCTCGCCTCTCAGTTCCCCCTCTCCCCTCCCTTCTCCACCCAGCGACTCCTTTGTGCCTCCTCCAGTCCTCACCTCGGCCTCTCCGATCCCAATTAGTCGGTTTCAAGGGGGCCCCCGCTGGCGGCCCCGCCCTCTCTTCAGCCCCCCAAAAAAGGGATACTTGAAACCGCCCCGTCGAGTTCTAAGCACCGTCCCAAAATGTGCTCTCCGCCAATCAGATTTAAACCCAAGGACCAGCCCCGAGGGCTGGATTGGTCCACCACAACATAATGAGATCAGAAACCAGATGCCAACAAAACTTACCCCCCCTCTTTTTGCTTTTTAAAGAGACAAGCTATTATTACATTAAGGGCTATTTGCCCAGCCCGGGATTTCTCCGGAGTCGCCGCGGCCAGATCCGGAGAAACACATTCCCCAGAGCTGCTAGACTCCAGCGTCTCAAAGCTGGATTACTCAGCTTGCTGGGAGCCCAGGCACTCTGCTGGGTAGGGGTTCTTTAAATCCTTGCCCCTGCCTCCCGCTTCTCAAATCCACCTATTTCAGTCCGATTTTTCTAATCAAATGAAAATTCTCAAGTTGAAAAACTTCTATTAAGGACATTTTTTTTTTTTGAAACTTGGGGTCGAACCCAGGGCTTTGCGAATGCAAGGCAGATGCTTTGCCACTGAGCTACATCCCAGCTCTATTAAGGACTTTTTGTTTAAAAAAAAAAAAAAAAAAAAAAAAAAGCTAACAATTTACAAAGACTTCTCTCAGACTTCTCATGGAGCCCGGGCAAAAGTTTCACTTCACCCTACTAGACCCAAAAGAGTGCGCCTCGCCCCTCCCCCTACACACACCCTTAAATAACCCTCTGAAAAAATGAGAGCCTGTCTCTTTAAGAGGCTCTTAAAGGGGCCCGGACTCCAGGGCGTAATTGCCCCGCAGCGAGCACAAAGGAGCCCATTATGGTTCTTTGTGTTCGGTGGCACCTCAAAGTGAGAAAACTCAAGAACTCCGAGGCCGGGAGCTAGAGGGTTGGGGGTTGGGGAGCCGAGGTGAAGGAGAATGGCCGGGAGCTAGCAGCTTCAATCTCCCCCTTCTTCCGAGGCAAATCTTAATTATGCTAAGTAAAGTTTAGTTGCCATAAGGAGAAGGTCTTAATCGAAAGTTAATGGTTGGGGGTGGGGGGTGATGGGCAGTTTTGAGTGAAGAAACGACTCTCTTAGGCCTGGCGAACGTTTGGGGGAATTTTCCTTCTCCCTCCCCACCTCTGCTCCGCCTCCTAAAAGCTTCCAGAGATCGTCTCCAGAGAGAAAGGGGAGTTTTACTCGAACCTTAAGTGATTCCGCAACAGAAAGGGGTGGCGTGTGTCACTAGGGAGGAGGCTGGGGGCTGGGGGCTGGGGAGGATTATTCCCTCCTCCCTCTCACCTGGTTGGGGGGTGGGAGGTGGCCAGGAGGTTAGCTTCTAGTTTGCATTGCTCCCCACTTCTAGGATTTTAAGTTTGAGAGGAAAGTCTGGGGCCCAGAGGGGAATTTGCATGTAAATCTTTTGGGTCTAGTACTGAATGATGGATCAATTATTTCTGTTGTCTGTCGGAAGGAAAGGGAAGGGGGAATTTAAAAGAAGAAAGAAAATTGAGTTTAGAAAGCCCCTTTGCTTCTTAGTATGGGCCAAATCCTCCCAGCCTGGAAAGCTGTTTCCTGTTCCAATCTAGAAAAAGATTGCTTAAAAAAAAAAAGAAAGAAAAGAAAAGAAAGAAAAAAAGAAGGGTGGGGAGAAGAAAAGAAAACTATAAGGAGATGGATGGATAAAAAGAGAGCTGGATTTCACAGGATATATATTTTTTTCTTCATCAATATAAAGATTTTAAGGTTCTTTACAACTTGAAAATACCTCTTATTGTATGCTGAAGAAGTTATTTTTTTTCCTCCTCTAGTTAGAGTGTTTTCCTCCAAAATTAAAGGCATAGGACTTTTCGCTGTGCATTTCACCGACTCATCCTGTCATTCGTGCTCTACAGCAGCCTGGAGATGGAAAAGTTGGAATTTCTTTGCTCTACAGAGCCCAATCCAAGCCTGGGTTGCTGATTCTTCAGACCTCCCTGTCTAGTTTGCTTCACTGCATCTTTACAGCTGGTACCATGCCTTGGAGCTGAGCCCTGGAAACAAAAATGATTAAGACAGGCTCCTTCACCCCACTCACTAAGCTCACAGTTTGATATGAAATTGAAAACAAGCCTCCAATGTGAGCGCAGCATCTCCAATTTCCTACCATGACAAACTGGTTTTCCTGCCCTAGGGCCAGGCCTAAGTGACAGTTTTCATTTCCCTGACCACCTCAGGCAGAGGGAGAGCTGGAGCTGGAAAATAGAAATAAAGGACTTTCTTTTCTTTTCTTTCTTTCTTTTTTTTCCTTTCTGGTACTGGGGATTAAACCTAAGGGCACTTTACCTCTGGACTACATCCCCAATCTGTTTTATGTATTTATTTTTTAAATTTTGAGACAGGGTCTCCCTAACTTGCTGAGGCTGCCCTCTAACTGGAGATCCTCCTATTTAGGCCTTCCAAGCAGCTGGTATTATAGGTGTGCACACCCAGCCCAGCAAGGACTTTCACTCAGTGGACCTTACATTTCTCAGCTCACTCTCCCACTCCCCCTCTTGGGTGCTGGAGATCAAATCCAGGGCCTCCAGCCTGCTAAGCAGATCTACCACTGAGCTACAGCGTGAGCCCTCAACACTTTTTTTTTCAAGATAAATGGGATTGAGCTGAGGAGTGTTTTACCACTGAACCACACCCCCAGACCTTTTTAAAAAAATATTTTATTATTATTAATTTTTAGTTGTAGTTGGACACAATACCTTTATTTTTATTTATTTATTTGGTGCTAAGTATAGAACCCAGGGCCTCGCACGCATGTGCTAGACAAGCGCTCTACCACTGAGCCACAACCCCAGCCCTTATTTTTTATTTTGAGACAGGATCTCTCTAAATTGCTGAGGCTGGCCTTGAATTTGTGATCCTCTTGCCTCAGCCTTAGGAGTCAGTAGGATTTGTGAGCTACTGAAGCCAGATTTAAAATTAGGTAGTCAGTGTAGTTAGGTAAATCGGGTTTAATACCGAGTGAAATCTAAAATGGAGGCCATGCTGACAATGATTCCAGAAACGCAGGACAACTCATGGAATGTTACTGAAGTCCCAGAAAAGCCCTAGGCCAAAGTCCACCCCAAAGAAATGTTAATGGAACCCAGGAAACAGCCCCCAACAGATTTAGAGATAAGCCCATCCCAAAGAAGTGATAAGCCCATCCCAAAAAAAGTGATAATGAAGTCCTTCCTGCCCAGATTACCTGTTTGGCCCACCTGTGTCCCAACCCTTCCCCCTTACATTCCATCACCAAACCTATAAAAAGGGGAACACATTTGCCCTTCAACGGATTCTTGGGTCCCCTTCTTCCTCCGGGAGAAGTCTTTTCTGCTGTCCTTTAATAAACTTCTAATTTCTACTCTGACCTTGCCTCCTGCTTTTCTGGTGTGATTCTTCAACATCGGGGAAGCAAGGACTCATCACTGGCCAACAGTGGTAACATATTGGAGGTTCCACCGAGATTTTTCTACACCGAGGTAAGCCCTCTCCACACACCCCATGTCTGTTTGAGGTGCATCTTTCTCTCTCTTTCTTTCTGGAGGGTAAGGTGGGCACCCGACAGCTACTTAAACGCAATTAGTGCAGCTGCCACTCTTCAAGAGGTTTCCTGGCCTAGGCAGACCCAACCCTTGTTTCTGAGGAGCTTATGTTCCAGGGGGCAGAGACTGACATTTATGACACAGTATACATAAATGTAAAAATTCAAAGTTATGAAAGGAAGGTGTCTGGTCCTATGAAAGTATAATGGGGAAGGAAGTCTGACTGAGTCCATCAGGGTGGGAGAGGAAAGTCTGTGTGGTTGAAGTGAGGAGTGAAGTAGGTTGAAGTAAAACAGCCAGCAGGGATCAGACTTACAGGTGTTTTTGAATGTGGAAATAGGAACTCACAATCTAATGAGGAAACAGTCATGTAAGCAGACAGATAGGGATAGGCATTCCAGACACAAGGAACAGATCCATGTGTATAAGAAAGTACCGAAATAGATGGAATTGGCAGGGCACACTACTTTGGCCATTAGAGCCCCACGTGCATTTGGGGGAGTGATGGCAGAGGAAGCTTCAGGTATGCAGGGAAATTAGGTCCCTTGCATACAGGCTGAGCTCAAGGAGACAAGGATATACTACAGAGGCTACAGAAGGGAAGTGACACACTTCAGTTGTAGTGCATGTAGGCAGCTCTGAGGAACATGAGTGGGAGGGAGCCAGAGTGCCCAGTAGGGGTGGAGCACAAGAGACCATGCAGGAAGACACAGAAGGACAAACCACAGGTTCTCACACATGTAGAAACTAAAAGAGTTGATTTTGCAGAAGTAGAAAGTAGAATACTGGTCACCAGAGGTTAGGAAGTGTAGAGGGAAGGGATTAGAAGGAGGTTGTATTACCACATCTGGGCCTGGTGGACTTATAGGTAAGCCCAGCCACTCAGGCAGCTGAGGCATAAGGCTAGCAAATTAAAGGCTAGCCAGAGCAACTTACTGAGACCCTATCTCAAAAAATAAATAGATAAATAAAAATTTTAACAAGCCAGGTGTGGTGGCACAGTCACATGATGGTTCATGTCTGTAATCCCAGTAGTTTAGGACATTCAAGACAGCAAGATGGTGGTTTCAAAGCCAGCCTCAGAAACAGCTGAGGAACTCAGTGAGACCCTGTCTCTAAATAAAATACAAAATAGGGCTGGGGATGTGGCTCAGTGGTTGAGTGTCCCTGACTTCAGTCCCCAGTACACACACACACACACACACACAAAGGGGGGGGCTGTATATGTGGCATAGTGGTAGAGTGGCCCGGGACTCCACCCCAGTACTGCAAAAAAAAAAAAAAGGCCATCAGGAAAGAAATAGTGAGGGCAGAAACTGAGAGCTGAGAACAGACATGTGGGAGTAATAAATAGGCGGAGAAAGAATAAGAGAGGAAACTAACCAAGGTTTCTGATCTAGGTGCCCTAATGCTAATAACCAAGCTAA